GCAACAGTCCTCCTGCCTCATCCCAAGTGCTGAGATTACAGGTGTATGCTACCCTCCCAGCTCATGTTTTTGTTTTCTACAAGGAGGCCAGGAGTCTGTCTACCTTTGTGTCTTGGACACTGAGTGCTAGGAAACTTTGGGTGGAATTTTCTGCTGTGCCTTGGAATCATGAGTTTTTTAGTTTTTTGTTTTGTTTTGTTTTTCCGGTAATGGGAATCGAGCTCACGACCTTGCGCTTGCCAGGCAGGCGCTGAGCTAAATCCCCACCCCTGAGCTAAATCCCCACCCCCTGGGTTTTTTTTGAGAATCGAACAGCAGTTATGTTTTTTAATTTTTTACAGTGCTAGGGATTGAACCCAGGGGCGCTGTACAACTGAGCCACACCTCTAGCCCCTTTTAATATTTTAATTTTGAGACAGGAGCTCCATTGGGATCCTCCTGCGTCAGCCTCCTGTGTAGCTAGGCTGACCGGTGTGAGCCACCGCTCCAGGCTTCCAGAAGTGAGGGTTTCTGAGTCTGGGGGGCTACTTTCTCCTTCCTGGGAAGTTTCCGTCCAAGAGCCCCATACACACCGTGGGTGGCCACTGTGCCCTCTGTAGCTGCCTGCCCCTTGCCAAGTGGCCTCGCCCTGAGTGCCCAGCGGGATCCGCTAATCCATGGCCACATTAGCGGTAGCTGCAGGAGGGGGACGATTAGTTTGGGATTAGTTTAGCTCTCTGCGAGCTCTGCTCTCCCTGGTGCCAGCATCTTTAGTGGGGACTCAGGGCCATAAGACTCGGCAGCCGACAAGGGCTTCAGCTTCCTGCAGCTGCTGGGGTGGGGGCTGGGCATGGCAGTCCAGGGTCTTGGTTCTCTGCCGTGCTGAGGGACTGGGGTTCTGGTCCAAGTGGCTGTGGGCCTCGTGGGCTGGACACTGAAATCTGGACGGCTTGGAACGAGGGTTCACAGCTGATTCTTTTTTGTTTGTTTTTTTTTTGGGTTTTTTCCCGGTACCGGGAATTGAACTCACGACCTTGCGCTTACCAGGCAGGCGCTGTGCCACTGAGCTAAATCCCCAGCTCCTTTCACGGCCGATTCTGTGAGACTTTTAGTGACTTCCCATTACTAGGCCTCAGTTCACCAGTCTGCCGCCTCGAGCGTATCTGCTTCCTGAGTTAGGAGGACACAAAATGAGATTTGGGGGCCTGGGCTCCACACATGGAGGGGTAAGCTCCTCGTCCCTGGTGGAAACCCAGCCGGTGCTAGCCACAGTCTGATTCCTCCTGGGACCCTCGCTTGTCTTGGCCCACAGGCCCCTTCAGGGCTGCCTGCCCGCCCTAGCCACCTCCCAAGTGAAGAGATTCTCAGCTTCCAGAAGGAAGCAGCACTTCATCAACCAGGCCGTGCGAAACTCAGACCTGGTACCCAGGGCCAAGGGTCGGAAGAGCCTCCAGCGGCTGGAGAACAGTAAGCAGGGGTGCGGGGGGCACCTCTCCAATGATGGTGGTATGCGTGTTGGTACTTGGTCAGACAGCTGGAAACAGAACCAGATAGACTTACCCCACTAGGTCAGAGCTGAGCCAGAGTCCTGTCTGGGCATTGGAACTGGGGCTCTAAAGGATGCATAGGAGTTCAACAAAGCCGGGAGAAGTGGGTGGAGCTGTGGATGTTGCATAGTTCCCTTCTGTTTTCATCTAGCTCAGTACCTCCTGACCCTGCTGGAGACGGATGGGGGACCACCTGGTCTGGAGGATGGAGACCTGACACCCGCCGCGGCGCCAGGCATCTTCGCAGAGGCCTGCAGCAACGCCACCTACATGGAGGTAAGGCCATGCCTCCTGTTGGCCGCACGCGGTGGACACAGGCCAAAGCCCCACCCCTCCTGGGAGCTCCCATTCCTACTTCTGGGCTTGTGGTGTTGGAGTACGGAGCTCACTGGGGAATGGAGCCATGTTAGGGGCCCCCAGTGTCCCTGACCTACATGATAGGCAGAGGTCTGTACGGAGTACTGCCGCATACTTGGTGGCCTCCTCTGCCCATTTGCACTCCAAGTGGGCAAACTGAGGCCGAGACCTCTGGTCATTGCCTGCTTCTCTTCCAGGTTTGGAACGACTTCATGAACCGCTCCGGGGAGGAGCAGGAGCGGGTGCTGCGCTACCTGGAGGACGAGGGTCAGAGCAAGGCCCGGAGGCGGGGGCCTGGACGCACGGAGGACCGCAGGAGAGGTGGGCCTGTGGGCGGGGCTGTGGTGGGTGGCCCCAGGATGTAGATGGGCTGTGATTGGTGGGTGGGAAGAATCTTTGGGCGGAGTCAGGACGTGGGCCTGTATGTAAATAGAGGGCGTGGCTCGAGTGGGAGGCTGGCCTTGAGCTGGAGCCTGAAGTGGTAGGACCAATTGGCAGGGGCAGGTGGGGCCCTCTGGTGGGCGGAGCCTATGTGGGTGGGGCTCAGTGTGGGCGGGGCCTGGCCTCCAGCCTCACTGGTGCACTGGCTACTTGTAGAGGACCCGGCCTACACACCTCGTGAGTGCTTCCAGCGCATCAGCCGGCGCCTGCGATCCGTGCTCAAGAGGGGCCGCATCCCCATGGTAAGTGCCAGGCCATCCTGTCAAGTGTTTTTTGCCTCACCACACTTTTTCAGCTGAAGCTTGGGGTCAGGGGTAATGGAAGTGGACACTGCAGGGTGTATAGGAGTTTGCTGGAGGGAAGGGACAAGATAGATGTGGCATGGATATGTCTAAGTGCCTGATACCCTTGGAAACAGGTAACCTCATGTAGTGAGTCATGGTGACCATTTATTTGGTTTTTTGTATCATGAATTGAACTCAGGACCTTGTGCTTGCCAGGCAGGTGCTGTACCACTGAGCTATACCCTGTCCCTGACCCACATGGTGACCTTTTTTTTTTTCTTTTTTTTCTTTTGTCTTTTTGAGACAGTGTCTCACTATGCAGTTCAAGCTGACCTTAAGCTCACTTTGTAGCCCAGGCTGGTCTCGAACTTGCAAAGATCCTCCTGCCTCAGCCTCCTGTGTGCTGGGATTACAGGTGTGTGCCACCACGCCCGGCTACATGGTGACCATTTTTTGTTTTTGGGGTTTTTTTTTTCCGGTACCAGGAATCGAACTCACAACCTTGCGCTTGCCAGGCAGGCGCTGTGCCACTGAGCTAAATCCCTGGCCTCAATGGTGACCATTTGAACCCAGGGCTTTGCGCTCCAGAGGCTTCCCAGGTGTGGGAGGAACTGGCTGGCTCACAAGGTCACACAGAGGCTTGATGCCTGACACCTGGGGCATCTCTTCCACAGGAGACTCTGGAGACCTGGGAGGAGCGGCTGTCGAGGTTCTTCTCCGTGTCTCCTCAGGCCGTGTACACAGCTATGTTGGACAACAGGTAGTGGGTGTGGAGGGCACCTCAAGCTCCCCTCCCTGCTGTGGCTCCTGCCCGGCCGCTTACCCCCTCCCCTCTGCAGCTTCGAGAGGCTACTGCTGCACGCCGTGTGCCAGTATATGGACCTCATCTCAGCTAGTAAGTGAGGGGCCCCGCATGCGGCCGGCAGCAAGGTCCCAGGGCCCCCAGGGGGAGATGTGGAGGGAAGTGTGACAGCGGGGTTTAGCAGCAGTCGGGCGTGGTGGTGCACATCTGTCATCCCTGCACTCTCGGGAGGCTGAGGCAGGAGGATCCCAAGTTGAAGGCCAGTGTGGACAATTTAACAACTTAGCAATACCCAGTCTCAAAAAATAGAAATGGGCTGGGGATGGAGCTCAGTGCCAAGGCCCTGGGTTCTATCCCCAGTATTGCAAAAAACCAGCGTATTAATCAGGAGTGGCCTGTGTGCCCTGCTGAGGACAGACACCCCTTTCTCCGCATCTCCGGCACTTGGGCTGGGGACCCCAGTTGGGGTGACGAAGCCTTGGAAATGAGAAGTGGGCCTGCAGTGTCTGGATGTTTATAGCCAGCAGGGTTCCGTTCCAATGCCTGCGCCCAGTCCTGTGCCTCGAGTCTCCTCTCACGCCCTTGCTGACCCCGAGAACCCCATGTGGTCCCAGCTTCCCACACCTGTCTTTGCCTCCTGCCTGGAGTTGCCAGGGAGATGGTTTCCATGGCAACCTTGGGCCGTCTTCTGTCCCCAGCTTCAAGCGCCTACACCTGCCTTTGTTCCTGCAGCCTGAGCTGGCGGGGGAGGGGCGGCTCCCGGGGTGAGGGGTGCAGGGGAAGGTGGCCGGTCGGACCACCCAGGGCCTTGATGCTTCCCTCACCTCTGCAGGGCTTGGGCAGAGGCGGAGAGACCTGGGAAGACCACTTTGCCCCAGTGCCCCTGCCTGCGCGCGCGGCTGCGGGGAAGTGGGTGAGACGCTCAGGCTCCTTTGCTTCCCTCCCCGCGCGGTCGTTCCTCCCGCAGGTGCCGACCTGGAGGGCAGGCGGCAGATGAAAGTGAGCAACCGCCACCTGGACTTCCTGCCCCCAGGGCTGCTCCTGTCCGCCTACCTAGAGCAGCACAGCTGATGGTGGCCACACACAGCCCCCTCCGCCGCGCCCGGACCTCCGACGCCATTTGCTGAGACCCGTCTCCTGTTTTAGGACTTCACTCTTGGAAGCCGCCTTCCCCTGAGGCTGGCTGTTTCTCTCTCACCCTCATCCCCTCCCCACCCAGCTCTTGGAGATCAGTGCTGGGGACAGTGGCTGTCCTGACTGTCCTTGTGCCCTGCCCCCCCGGAACTCGTGGGGCGATCTCACTGAGCATGTCCATCTTTCTGCTTTGTTTTTCTCTTTTGGAGGGGGGGAATCAGTCTGAGGCTCAGGCGGACAGGGAGAGGCTGAGTTTTTATCACTTTTAATGAATTGGGCATGATTTGTTGTAGATTTTTAAATTTTTCTTTTGGAGGGAAAAACCAAAAAAGGCCCCACGTGTTTCGCTGTGAGGCTTTGTCGTGGTCCTTGCTTGTCCCTTCCCACTTTTTAGCTGTCATTGTGTGTTTGGGGGGCCCCAGGGCATTTCATTCTGTGTATGTGTGTCTGTGACCCCATACGTGTGCATGTGCGGGCCCCGCGACTGGGGACACGGCTTTGTTCCAAGGGCTGGTTTGATGCTTTTAACTGTGTCGCCACCGCCCCTCCCGCCTGCTCCTCGTCCCCCCTTATTCCGCGGATCCAGGACTTCAGCCAGAAGCCTCTGTCCTCGCCTCCCCGCCACCTCCTCCTCCGTCCCCTGCCCAGCCTGGCTCTGGCCTCACGGTCAGGGCCCCAGTGCTGGCCGCCCTCAGGGGGCTCCGCTGTGGAGCAGCCCAGCCCCTTGTCCTGTGTGTGGCCCATTGCGCGTGTGTTGGGGGGTGTTTAATAAATTCCTGGTGCTCTGGCTGCTGGCTGTATGGTTTGTCCAGGTCAGGGCTGGGACATCACAGGTCTTGGTCACTGGGGGTGGCAGCCTTGGGTGTGAGGTTCCCCACGGGTGACAAGCTTCTGTGAGGCCCAGCCTGGGCTCATCGGTGCCAGCTTTGGGGCTCTGACTGAGTCACTTGTGTGAGGCTACCAAGTGCATGACACCTGTCCTCTCAGCTACTCAGCTCAGGCAGGATGAGCACAAATTTAAGCCCAGCCTGGGCAAATTAGGGACCCAGAATAAAAAAGGCTGAAAGAAATAATTACAAAAAAAAAGGGCTAGGATTGCAGCTCAATGGGAGCACCTGCCAGGCATGCCCTAGGCCCTGGGTTCCATCTTTAACACTGCAGGAAAAAACCCAAAACAAAAACCTACAGCCTAGCCGGGCGTGGTGGTGGCACCACGTGTCCGTAATCCCAGCACTTGGGAGGCTGAGGAGGGAGGATCCTTGCGAGCTCGAGGCCAGCCTGGGCTACAAAGTGAGCTCAAGGCTCAGTGAGACCTGCACAGTGAGACCCTGTCTCAAAAAAAGACCAAAAAACAAAAAAAAAAAAAACGAAAAAAAAAACCCAACCCCACAGCCTAGGCAGCTGAAAGTAGCCAGAATTATATCTCAGACCCAGGCTGGGCTTGGGGTCCTCGCCTCTTTTGGCTCCTGGAACTCGGGGCAATGTCCTTGGGCGCCACCTGCATGGCTGCAGACCTGCACCCCCTGCCCCTGCTCTGCCCCTGCTGTGTGTTTGGTCATCTTCCTCCGTGTCTGGTCCTGACGCCCTTCTGCTAGGGATGCCATGTCGTTGGGTCGGAACTGCTCTAAGCCCTTGTTTGGACCTGAGCGCCTGTGTAAAACCGACTTCCGAGTAAGGTCGTCCTTGAGGGAGTGGGGACTTAAATGTACTTTTTTTTCCTCTGTCCTGGGGATGGGACCCAGAGCCTTGGCATTGAGCTGCAACCCCCAGCCTTGCTTGCTTTTTTCTTTAGGTGGCAAATTTTGTTTGGAAAAAGTAAAGGTGAAGAGTGAGGGAAAAACGCTTTGCAGATGGACCTTGGGCAGAGAAAAAGCAAGATAAAAGGATACTCTAAAAAACAGGACATCCTGGAAGAAGCAGGCTGGGCTATGGTAGGGAAAGTCACGATAGCAAACAGTCTCACTGTGTAGCCCAGGCTGGCCTCGAACTCATAGCGATCCTGCCTCAGCCTCCTGAGTGCTGGGATTACAGGTATGTGCCACCATGTCCAGCAAAATTTTTTGGATTGTGTGTGTGTGTGTGTGTGTGTGTGTGTGTGTTTGTGTTTTCCCCATTATTCATTCTGAGACCGGATCTTCCTAAGTTACTCAGGCTGATTTAGAAAATTCAAGCCTTCTGCCTTGGCCTCCCAGAGTGCTGGGATGGCAGGTGGGTGACACCACACCTGGTCCTAGAATCTAGTTTTGGAAAAATTGGGGATGACCTTTGAACTTGAAAGACCCTCCCTTTAAAGAGCCACCATGTGTAGCCAGGTGTGGTGGTGCACACCTGTAATGCCAGCACTTGGGAAGCTGAGGCAGGGGGATCGTTTTTGGGGGTTCAAGACCAGCCTGGGCTACAAAGTAAGCTCAAGGCCAGCCTGACTGCATAGTGAGACTCTGTCTCAAAAAGACAAAAAAAGGGCCAGGGATATAGTTCAGTGGCACAAGCGCCTGCCTGGCAAGCTGAAGGTCCTGAGTTTGATTTCCAGTACCAAAGAAAAAAAAGCCACCACGTGAGTTTAGGGTTTCAAGACCCCATCTCACAATAAGCCTGGGAGTGCAGCTCAGTGGTTAGTGCTTGTCTCATAGGCACAAGGTTTTGGTTCCATGCCCAGCACTGCTTTTTAAAAAAGTCATGGTGGCACATGCCCGTAATCCCAGCACTGGGGTGGCTGAGGCAGGAGGATTGTTCCAAGTTCAGGACCAGCCTGAGCTACAAAGTGAGCTCAAGGCCAGCCTGTGACCCTGTCTCAAAAAGACAAAAAATAAAAATAAAAAAGTCATCCTGGCTGGAGACATAGCTCAGCGGCATAAGCGCTTGCCTGGCAAGTCTGAGGTCATAAGTGTGACTCCCAGGACAAAAAAAAAAAAAAAAAAAAGTCCTCTTGTGATTCAGCTCCCCTACTACTCGGCGGAGACCAGAAGGAAGGAAAGTCAGTACTGTAAAGAACCATTTGTATACGTACGTTACTGCAGCACCCTTCACAATGCCCAAGTCATGGACGAGGTTCCCATGTTCATCAACCAATGACAGGCATAAAAGAGACCACGTCTTCTGCGGAAACAGACGGAACAGGACATGTTAAGTGAAATAAGCCACTTAGACAAGTATGTTCTCTCTTCTATGTGGAAACTAAATACTTAACAACAACAACAAAAAAAAAACTCGAGGGGAAGAAGCGGGTGAGGGACTAAAACGCATGATTTATGAAAGTATGAAAATGTCACAGTGAAACCCATTAATTTGTGCAATTAGTATACATCAATAATAACAAAATTAAGGTTCCTCATGTATCAGAGCCTCAGTTTTCCTGCCCGTGAAGATTAGGAGAGGGGAAGTAAAAATATGGAACGCTTCACGAATTTGCGTGTCATCCTTGCGCAGGGGCCATGCTAATCTTCTCTGTATCGTTCCAATTTTAGTATATGTGCTGCCGAAGCGAGCACAAACTGTACATCTTCTCATCTGATATTTATAGTACCTAAAATAAATCTTTTTACAGCTAGGGCGAACACTATTTAAAAAAATTTTAGCAGCTCTTACATTTTTTCCGTATTATTAATACCAAGCGTAGAGCAATTAAACATATTCATTAATCAGAGTTCACAAAATGTTCTTTTTTTTCTACTATATATAAAACTGCAGTGGTTGCTGGGAATTTCTACATGCAAATAACCCCGGAAGTCGAGCCGTGCTGGAGCAGTCGCCATCCCATAAGTCTTTGCGAAGCCCCAGTGCCGCTCCGGCGACTCGTTGGTACAGAAAAGATGGCAGCGCCGGAGTTGGGCCGCTGGGGCGAGTACGGGCCACGGCCGCCCGCTCGACTGGGTGCACGTGCCAGCCAGGTGGGCACGTAGCTTCGGGGCTCGGTGGAGTCTGCCGGGCTCCGGACGGCATCTGCGGCCGCTGAGAGCACCGCGGGCCCAGACGGGTGTGGGGGCGTGGCCTACGGGCCTGGGGGCGGGTCTGGCCGTAGAGGATCCTGGGTACGCGACCCGAAGCCGGGCGGGGACTGGGGCGGGGACTGGGGCGGGGACTTGGCGTGAGAGCTGATGCCCACCGGGGTTGGGGGTCGGAGGTCTGGGAGAGGGGGATGGGGGCGGGCCTAAGGATCTTGCGGGTCCGGGAGCAGGGCCAAGAGAACTGAGGGTGTTTGGGACGGTTGCAGAGGTTGGGATGAGGTCTGGAGATCTTGTGGGGACCCTGGGTGCAACCTGGGAGTTTATGGCGGGCCAGGGGCTCAAAGGATGACTTGGGGCGGGGCCTACGGGTCGTGTGGGGTCCCTGGACGCTACCTGGGAGTTTATGGCTGGCCAGGGGACTCTCAGGGCGACTTGGGGCGAGGGCTGGAGATGGAAGCGTGCTGGGGGCAGGGCCTAAAGGCTGTTTAAGGGGCTTGCAAGCGCGAAGCATGGGGTACAGGGTGAGAAGTGAAGGATGGGAAGCAAGGGTGAGCGTTGGGTGAAATGAGTCAGGGGTAATTATGTTTCCTCTGGGCACTACAGAGGTGAAGGGAGACGCTCTCCCGTTGATGCCGGGTCCCTAGAAATCTATTGTCCCTCCTGCACCGCTCCTCATGCCCCCAAAAGCTTCAGCTGTGTATCCTTCAGCTGTGTATCCCTCTTCCCTCAGAATGGACATGGCGTCCATTGCTCCGTCTCCTCTGACCCGCTTCTGTCCTTGCTTGTCACCTGCACTGAGGCACTGACCTCTCCCTGTCCACCGCTGCACCCCCGACCTCCATGATTTGCTCCTAGACAGCCGGGTCAGAGGGACCTGCTGAAACCTAAATTCCCAGCCCTCTTGGCTCCAACCTGGCTGTGGGTGGACACCCATAGGTCCAGGACCGGCCCCCTGCCTTCCTTGCCTGGGTTCCCCACGCTCTGATCTGGCCACAGTCCAGGCTGGGTGTAGCCCCCTGGACCTTTACACTGGCCAGTGCGCTCCTCAGCACCCTTCCCTTCAGGTGTCCTCATGCCACACTTAGGCATCGCCTGTCCTGATGAGGCCTGGTAAACCCACTGTACCAAAGCTACAGCCTCCTGCCTGGAAAAACAAAACCTGGCTCAAAGCATAGTCCCTGTCCCCATCCTACACGATGGTGCCAAAGGGCAAGGACTTGGCCCTCTCCATCCGGACATCCAGCATGGCACACATCCCCGAATTCCCTCCACAGGAGCCAGCGACTGCCTTGGGCACAGTGGGCACCATGGACCTGGCCTACGTCTGTGAGTGGGAGAGATGGCCCAAGAGCACCCACTGCCCCTCGGTACCCCTGGCCTGCGCTTGGTCGTGCCGCAACCTGATCGCCTTTACCACTGACCTGCGGAATGACGACCAGGGTGGGTCCCTACCCACCCACCCACTGCTCCCTGCACCCTCAGAGATGGGCAGTCAGGGTCTTAAGCCCTTGCTGTCTGCTTTTGAGGGGTTCGGCATCCCCATCTCCAGGAAGCAGAGTCAGCCGTTCCACGCCTGGGACCTGGGGTTGCCCGTGTGAAGGCAACCGTGGGACCTCAGGGCTGGGGCACAGTGACTTGGTGACTCACGCCCTGCTGGCAGCCTCGCCATTGTTCTGGTAACACAAGCTGTTAGGATCAAAAAGCAGAGGCTCAGGGTAATGAGAGAGAGATGCCGCCTGGTGTTTTTTGCAGAGAGACGCCCACTCTGAGCTTTTGGGGTCATTTTCCTCCAATTCCATTTTCTGTGTCTTATTTATTTATCTATTTATGGCATGGGAGATTGGGCCTTTGCATGAAGCTGCATTCTCAGCCCATTTTTATTTTTTATTTTGAGATAGGGTCTCACTAAATTCTGCAGGCTGGGCTCCAATTTGCAACCCTCCTGTCTCAGCCTGTCAGAGTGCAGGGATGACAGGTGTGCGCCACCACACCCGATTTCTGTGCCCCTTTTATTTTATTTTATTTTATTTTATTTTATTTTGAGACTGGGTCTCGCTATGCAGTTCAGGCTGGCCTTGAGCTCACTTTGTAGCTCAGGCTAGTCTTGAACTCACAACGATCCTCCTGCCTCAGCCTCCCGAGTGCTGGGATTACAGGCGTGTACCACCACACCTGGCCTGAGCCCCTTTTAAAAGCGCATTTGCAGCCACATTGACGGCCAGATCCTTACATTTTGGCTGTGGCCCTCAACTCAGTGGCAGTTCTGTGACCACCCCAGGGGCCCTGGCATGGTGTAGAGGGCGCAGGGGGGCAGAGCTGACCACACTCCACCCCTTACAGACCTGACTCGCATGATCCACATCCTGGACACCGAGCACCCCTGGGATGTGCATTCCATCAACTCGGGCCACAGTGAGGCCATCACCTGCTTGGAGTGGGACCAGTCAGGTGAGCCTGGGACCCCAAGTCCCCGAGCAGTGGGTCCTCCGGGACTCCTGGATGTTGTGTGCTGTCCAGGGACGCTGTGACGCTGCTCTGCCCCGCAGGCTCCCGGCTGCTCTCGGCTGACGCAGATGGGCAGATCAAGTGCTGGAACATGGTGGACCACCTGGCCAACAGCTGGGAGAGCCGTGTGGGCAGCCTGGTGGAAGGCGACCCCATCGTGGCGCTGTCCTGGCTGCACAATGGTGTGAAACTGGCACTGCATGTGGAAAAGGTAGGTGGCCGCCTGAGCAAGCCAGTGAGACGGGTACCCCGCATGCCCACCTGCCAGCCTGTCTCCTCTCCCACTCTCAGTGGTGTTGGTTGTTTTGTTAGCTCTGGGCATGGTTCACACCTAGAATCAAGCTCTGAGTTTACACCTGTGTTTTCTTGGGACACCAGTTAACAGATGGCTGTTGTCCCCAAAGGACCATTTATTTAGCTGATGGCTGCTGTCCCTGCAATCCATTATGGTTCGGTAACATCCTAATATCCCTCTCATTCTGTGGTTTAGCCACAGTTACAGGTGGGGGCTGCTAGGGCCAAGGGTTCCCCGAGTTCAGCCCCAACTTCAGTCCTCTGTGATGAGCATGTTCCCCCTCGAGGACAGGGTCATGGTGGGGATCTGGCGAGGGGACACGGCCAGGGCTCAGCTCCATCACTGCCAGTGATCCTCAGGGCTCAGCTGCTTCGGTGTGAGCCAGGGTGAGGCAGCAGTGGGACACCCACGCTGTCCTGTGTCCTGGCCTCTGTCCCCCTCAGGCCACAGTGGAGCCTTCTGAGGGTGTCCCTTGTGTTCTTCTTGTGTCTATTTTGCATTTAATAACTTTTTTTGTGTGTGGTACTGAGGATGGAATCCAGGCCTTTGCATTGAGCTACTCCCCAGATCGTTTTTTATTTTTTGTTTTTAGACAGCATCTTGCCAGCTGGGCTCTGACTTGAAATCCTCCTGCCTTCGTCTCCCAGAGGGTTGGGATTATGGGCTGACCACCACACCTGGCTGAAAACAGCTGAGACAGTGTAAAGATCATTGCCTTTTAGTACCCTCAGAGCTGTGCCGCCCCTCCCTGCCCCTATTTCTAGAACATCTCATCGCCCCAGTAGGAAGCCCCATCTGTCTCCCTAAGCGGTCCCTCATCCCCTGTCCAGCCCAGCACCCCCGAGTCCACTTCCTGTCTCTGGAGTCGCCTGTCCTGGGCATTTCCTGTCCATGGAGCCCACACTGTGCGTCCCCAGTGTCTAGCGTCTCTCACTGAGCATGGTGTCCTCAAGGGCTGACGTGGGCAAGGTCCTGATTTCAGTGCCCTGTACTGCTGGAAGAAAAAAAAAGGAATTTTGTGTATAAATCACACCTTCATAAACCTAAGCTGGAATTTGGCTACTGGCCACCCCAGCTGGCACCCACGGGTTCCCTTGGAGCTCCTCGAACCGCAGCCCTCAGGCTGAACAGAGCCCTCACCCATTTGCGTAAGGCAGCTTTCCTGGCACACAGCTGCTCACCCTCCATGCCCTGCTGTCTGCCCTCTCCAGCTTCTGCCCTACAAAGACAGAGACAAAGCCAGGTAGCCATGACAGGGACAGCCTGGCCCTGGGACTGAAAACACCTAGTTTCTGGCCCTTTATGGAAAGATGTCATGACAACTGCTGTCCATCCCTCCAGGAACCGTATCTTTACCATGGCCCTCCAGAGTAAAAGCTTTATTCTTAGCTAGGTGCCATGGCACACGTTTGTCATCCCTGCACCGAGGGAGGCTGAGGCAGGAGTATCGCAAGTTCAAGCCCAGCCTGGGCAGCTTTGCAACTTAGCAAGATGCAGTCTCAAGATAAAAAATAAAAAGGGCTGGGCATGGAGCTCAGTACAAAGGTGCTGCGTTCAATCCGCAGTACTGCAAAAGGAAAAGAAAATCATTTTTTGGATATTAGAAAAGAGGAGGGGCTGGGGATTTAGCTCAGCAGCAAAAGCGCCTGCCTGGCAAGCGCAAGGTCGTGAGTTCGGTTCCAGGTACCGGAGAAAAACCAAAAAAAAAAAAAAAAAAAAAGAAAAGAGGAGAGGCCTACCTCAGGTGGCGCCGTGGGTGTGAGACCGTGTTTGAGCTCAGGTCTGCCTTGCACCATGCTGCTTCTGCCACGTCCTGGGGCGTAGGGGCGTCAGACTCCTACAGCTGACCCAGAGGCTAAGCGGCCCCTCGTCCCTCCTCCCCTGCAGTCGGGCGCCTCCAGCTTCAGCGAGAAGTTCTCGCGTGTGAAGTTCTCGCCCTCGCTCACCCTCTTCGGCGGCAAGCCCATGGAGGGCTGGATTGCCGTGACGGTCAGCGGGCTGGTCACCGTGTCCCTCCTGAAACCCAGCGGGCAGGTGCTGACATCCACCGAGAGCCTGTGCCGGCTGCGCGGCCGCGCGGCACTGGCCGACATCGCCTTCACAGGCGGTGGCAACATCGTGGTGGCCACGGCGGACGGCAGCAGCGCGCTGCCGGTGCAGTTCTACAAGGTGTGCGTGAGCGTGGTCAGTGAGAAGTGCCGCATCGACACCGAGATCTTGCCCTCCCTCTTCATGCGCTGCACCACCGACCCCCACCGCAAGGACCGCTTCCCTGCCATCACCCACCTCAAGTTCCTGGCGCGCGACATGTCCGAGCAGGTGGGCACCTCCCCAGGCCTGGGGTCTGAGGCCTGCACTTGGGGAGAACCCCAGACCCCGCCCCGGCTCTTAGAGGCACCGCACCCTCGACTTGTGCCCCCTCCCTCTACCTGCAGAGCCGCGCCCGCTCGGGGACCCTGGGCAAGGCAGTTGGGATGACCCCCTCTCAGGTCCGTCACTGAGTCCAGCACCAGCAGAATCCTTTTGCTGTGGGAGGTGACATGTCCTCCCGCCCCTGGGGTTAGGACAGTGTTTCTTTCATTTTTGTTTCTGTTTTGTTTCTTTTTTTTTTTTTTTTTTTTTTTTGGTTTTTGTCCGGTACCAGGAACTCACGACCTTGCGCTTGCCAGGCAGGCGCTTTTCCACTGAGCTAAATCCCCAGCCCCTGTTTTGTTTCTTTTTGAAACAGGGTCTCCCTGTGTAATTCAGGTTGGCCTTAAACTCACTGTGGAGCCCAGCCTGGCCTCAAACTCGTGGTAGTCTTCCTGCCCCAGTTTCCCAAGTGCTGGGGTGACAGGCATGGGCCACCATCCCACTAGGACAGATGTGTCTTTGAGGCTGTTACTCAGCCCACCACAGCACATCACCGGGGTCCCAGTGCTCCCACGCATCCTTAAGGCCCCAGGCATCTCCCTTCCCTCGGTGTGTTTCCCTCTGTCCCCATCTTTCCTACTGGGAAGGGCCCCCTCGCGGTGACATCTGCCATCTGGTATGGCTTCACTCAAGAGAGGACACAGTGCTGCCCTGGAGGGGAAGCTTCTTGCTGGGGTCCCACAGCTCACACAGGTCGGGGAGGGGACACGAGGACGCCAGGTCCCCGTCTCACAAGCCACCACCGCCAACCCCCCGCCCCCGCACGCACACACAGGTGCTGCTGTGCGCGTCCAGCCCAACCAGCAGCCTGGTGGAGTGCTGGTCCCTGCGCAAGGAGGGGCTGCCGGTGAACAACATCTTCCAGCAGATCGCGCCTGCCGGTGAGTCCCCGCCGCCCTCCGGGGCCTGGGGTCTTGGGGTGCCAGTGGCAGGGATGGAACATAGGGCTCGCGCAGCCGAGCGCTGGCTCTGCCCCCAAGCCACGGCCCAGACAGCCGCTTAGCTTTTAATTTGTGTATATTTATCTGTTCCCCTCCATCCTCCTTGTACTCAGGGCTGTTTCACCCTTGGCTACAGAGGACAGGGAAACAGGCTCAGAGAGAGGAGTTGCTTGCCTGGGTCACCCAGCAGGTGGGCAGTCCTGTGCTTCTTGCGGGCAGCGGGTGTCCGGTCCAGGGCACAGCTTGTGCCAAGGTCCTGGGGTGAGGCTGTGAGCGGAAGAGGCTGAGAAAGGCTGTGCTCACAGCAGGGACCACAGGGTAATGCCATATTCTAAACTAGGTGGAATCTTCCAGAAACCTTGGTTCCATAGGGAAGCCCGGGGAGCTGACTGGGTTTGCCAAGGATGTGCACCCCTGGCTCATGTCTGTAGCAGCGTCTGCTCTCCTTGCCCTTTCAAGAGCGATGATCCCACCCCCCAACTCTACCCTTAAGGCCACTCAGTTCTTTTTTTATTTTTGATTCACTGAGGCAGGGTTTCACTGTGTCTTTCAGGCTTGCCTTGAACTCACTGTGTAGCCCATGTGGGCCTCAAACTCGAGGGGCTCTTCCTGCCTCGGGCTCCTAAGTCCCCTCTGTGCCCAGATCTAAAGCCACTCAATTCTTAAAACCCATTTAATTCCCACTGGATTCCCAGAACCTCCTGAGAAGCCTCTGGATTTCAATCCAGTGGAGGCTGTGCAGCTCCCCCCCACCACCCCCGGGGAGATGCTCAGATGAAAGCGCCTGCTGCCATTAGTGCTAATGGGCCCTGGCGTGGTCCGAGAGCAGGGGAGGGCCAATCGGAAGCCGCTAATGAGCTCAGGTCAAGAGGCCCCTCGGGTCCAGCCTGCGGAGGAGGTTACATAAACTGCCCATTGTGGCCGGGAGCAATTAAAGTGGAGAGAACTGAGGTCGCCCCTTCCTGGGCCACATCATCTTGAGTCACCAGGCTCCGGGCTCTGCCATCTTGGCCAAATAGCAGGCGGGTCCACCGGGCTGGGGTCTCTGCGGGGCTCAGACGGCCACTGGCCCTTTCCTACTCATGGTGGCAGTTTCCCCTGCAGCCAGATCATATGTCCCCGCCCCTTGCTGGGTTATTTTTCTGCCTTGTCTCCTCCAGCCACCCGCCACGCATGGTCCTGGGAACCTGTCACAAGTGAAACCGCATCTCATGCAGCAGGGAGGTCTCATCACCCCTGAGAAACCTCACAGATCCAGGGCGCAGCCTCTGCCAAGCTCCTCCTGCCCCCGTGCCCTCGCCAGCCCCTGCTGCCACCCTCCTCCTGGTGCTTAGCCCACTCACAGCTGACCTGTGGGTCGGGGCTGGCGGCCATGACCGGCATTGGGGTGAGGAGCAGGATGTAGGTCATTAAGGCCCGGCCCTGGCGGTAGCACTGCACACTTACCACGCTGTGTCCCCTGTCTTCCAGAGAGACACAGAGTGCCCCAGGGCAGATGGCCTCAGCCACTCCAGGTCTTAGTTTCTTCTGGAGAAAGATGCTGGCTGGGGTTCTTTGGGGCTGGGGCAGGTGTGAAGGAGATCAGGGCTGGGTGACAGAGGGCACTGCGTATCATTTCTATCATGGAACCCTGAGGCTGGGAGCAGCGGCCTTGGGCCAGGCTGCGGCTGGGCAGCTGCTGTTCCTTCCCCGGGTCCTGACCAGCTGCCGGCTGTCCCAACTCCCTGTCCTTTCCAAGTTTCAGTCATGTCATTTTTGGGGCACTTGGCCCCCCACTGGCCAAGCCTAGATGCTGGAAAACTGAAGGCCACCTGTGGAAGCTGCTGCTTTGTCTCCTGAGGGTGTAGGGCCGGACCATGCCGTAGACCCGCACAGCCTCCTCGGGGGGCAGGTGATGAGTAACAGAAATCTCATCTCCAACTGGCTGGAGGCCAGGAGGGAAGTCTGGATCTAGGTGGCACGGCACTGCTCTGAGGAATTGGCCCCAGCAGGGAACAGGAGAACGGCCCCGCCACCAGCTCACACCCTCTTGGTTTGTGTGAAATTGATCCCAAAGCTGGCCAGGTGCCATGGCACACATCTGCAGTTCCAGCTACCCAGGAAGCTGAGGCAGGAGGATTATAAGTTTAAGCTCAGCCTAGGCAACTTAGAAGATGCTGGCTCAAAAAAAAAATGACACCCCGTCATGGTGGCGCATGCCTGTAATCCCAACACTCAGGAGGCTGAGGCAGGAGGATCACTGTGAGTTCAAGGCCAGCCTGGACTACGTAGTGAATTCAGGGGCAGCCGAGCTATACAGCAAGACCATGTCTCAAAAAACAAATAAAAAAACCGATGGAAAGGCTTGAGTGCAGCTCAGTGATCAAGTGCCCTGGGTCCCATCTGGAAAGAAGCAAGGCCAGGGCTGAGTCCCAGGGGCCAGCCTTGGGTCGCATGCCCACCCTGAGCCCGCCGGCCAGTGGTGTTTGGTGCTGTCAGCCCTGGGTCCGCCTCCTGGGTGGGAGCGGGGATGGGTAGGACTGGGGGCCAGGGAAGGCATGGGGCGGCCCGTGCCCTGCAGGGTGCTGTGACAGCCTTGTCGTCTCCCTCCTTGGTGTTGCCTCCTGTGTTCCTGCCCCACAATGTTCCAGTTGGTGACAAACAGCCCATGATCCTCAAATGGCGGATCCTCTCAGCCACCAACGACCTGGACCGTGTGTCGGCCGTGGCGCTGCCCAAGCTGCCCATCTCGCTCACCAACACTGACCTCAAGGTGGCCAGCGACACCCAGTTCTACCCCGGCCTTGGTATGCGGCTCTCAGAAGCAGCCAGCATGGCTCTCGGCAGGTCTCATGGGGGTGGGACTTGGAGGTGGTGGGAGCCCGGCTCCCTGGCAGGGCTTCGGGATGAAGGAGCTCAGAGGGCAGTGAGCCTGCGGACACAGCTGCGCTCCTTCATATGCCAAGAGTGGTTGTAGATCAGTAGTGCCGGGATGAGTCCTTCCCAGGTGGTGGCACTTAGCAGCCATGGTGCTGGTCCCAGGTCCCAGGATGTGCCTCCGTTTGCTCAACTGTAAGGCACTGGGGTTTGTCTGCACTCAGGCTGATCCCCCAGCTCTCTGCCAGTTCATTGGAAAGAACATCTGTCAAAATTCACGCTAGGCTCAGGGCCTTTGTGTGTGTGTGGTACTGCAAATCAAATCGAGAGCCTTCACACTGAGCTACATCTCCTGGCCCCTTTTGTATTTTTAGTTTTGAGACAGGGCTGCACGTGGGGTCTCATCAAGTGTCTTGAGTTGCCCAGGCGGGACTCTAACTTTCGATCCTCCTGCCTCAGCCTCCCTATGTGATGAGATGACAGGCATGTCACCCCGCACCCGGCTGGCTCAGGACCTTTTATTGCGAACCTGCAGAGAAGGGCGCAGACAGTCAGTCTTTGGCCCGGAAACCTTTTACATGTTCCTGGTGCTCCAGCCTTTTCACTACCTCCACGGACAGCCTGGTCCTCTGTTCAGTGCTAGACCCTTGGGCCTGAGACCTGTCTGCCCCACTGAGAAGCAGGGTCAAGTTGGAGCAAATCGTTTGTTTTTCTCGAGACCTGTAGAAGTGTTGGTGGGAGCCATCAGTCTCCCTGCCTCCCGCCCCTGCCACCACCCCTAGGCTCCAGCAGCCTTGGGTGCTCAGCCGCCCTCACTTTGCTGAGCCCTGGTCCAGCTGCAAGGCGCTTGCCTGTGTTGAGGGGCCCCTGGGTTCCTCATCGAGAACAACCCCCGACCCTTATCCCATATCAGACAGGACAGCCTGGTGCGGGGGCATTGGGGGTGGGGCCTGAAGCCACCTGGTTTTAGGGTTCTGAAAGTAGAAGACATGGCGAGAGCAGCTCCTGAGGGGCTGCTGGACCCAGGGGGCTACCTCCCCCACTCCCCCGTGGGCAACCCCTGACTCTGGGGTCCAGAGCTGATGCCCATAGCCGCCGGCATCTAGCCCTCCCCCACCCTGACCTCGCACGTCCCCACAGGGCTGGCCCTGGCCTTCCATGACGGCAGCGTCCACATTGTGCACCGGCTGTCGCTGCAGACCATGGCCGTCTTCTACAGCTCGGCTACACCACGCTCCGTGGACGAGCCGGCCATCAAGCGCTCGCGGGCCGCCGGCCCTGCCGTGCACTTCAAGGCCATGCAGCTGTCCTGGACCTCCCTGGCCCTGGTGGGCATCGACAACCACGGGAAGGTGTGCATCGCCCTGTGGTGGGGACTGGCAGGGGCGGTTGGGGGACCCTGGCACCTGGCCGTCCCTGGGGCAGGGACCCGCCTGTGCGCCCTCTCCCCTCGAGCTGTGCGTCCGTCTCGCCCCGCAGCTCAGCATGTTGCGCATCTCGCCCTCCATGGGCCACGCGCTGGAGGTGGGCCTGGCGCTGCGGCACCTGCTCTTCCTGCTGGAGTACTGCATGGTGACCGGCTACGACTGGTGGGACATCCTGCTGCACGTGCAGCCCGGCATGGTGCAGAGCCTGGTGGAGCGGCTGCACGAGGAGTACACGCGCCAGAAGGCGGCGCTGCAGCAGGTGCGGGGCCGGGCGCAGAGTGCCGGGTGTGGGGGCCAGGAACGTGGGGGGGGCTCAGCCCGGACAGGTGAGACCATGGGCGCAGGGGCAGCTGGACAGAGGAGGCCATGGGGTGGGGCTGGCCCAAGAGCGTGAAGGCCAGGCAAGGTGGTGCAGGCCCCCACTGAGCAGGTGAGCTGGGAGTCTTCAGTGTGGGACAGGTGAGGTTATGTGAGGTATAGAGGCTCCAACCTGCTGCAGATCTTTTAAAAATTTTACTTGTAGGCACCCACCGTGGTGCATACTTGTTAGCCCGGCACTCTGGGAGGCTGAAGGCAGAGAATCTCAAGTTGGACCCCAACCTGGAAAACTTAGTGACTTACCAAGACCCTGTCTCAAAAATTAATTTTTGCTGGTATGGTGGCACATGCTTGTAATTCCAGGACTCAGGAGGCTGAGGCAGGAGGATCACCAACTGGACTCACATAGTGAGTTCAAGGCTAGCAACCTGAACTACACAGGGAAACCCTGTCTCAAAAAAAATTTTTGGTAGTGATACTGGCCTCACGCATGCTAGGCAAGGGCTCACCACTAGTTACACCCTCAGCCCTTCACTCTTGATTTAAAGCTTGCCGTACAGCAGCAAAACCCTTCCCATGAGAGTCAAGTCCACCTGGACCTTCCAGCTCAGCTCCCACCCCCGGGGTTCCTTCCACATTGCTGTCCAGAATGCAGCGGGTCTGAGGTCAGGCTGTGCAGCTGTGCCCTCAGGGCCCAGCCATTGTGACAGCAGGGAAAATGTAAGGCTGAAAGCAGAAGGGAGGAGAACCCACTGACCGTGTGACTACACCCATAGTCCCCCAGGGTCCCCGAAACCACCCCTGTGGCTGGCGGCTGCAGTCTAAACACTGGGATGGGCCTAGACCTGCGGTAAGCAGAGGGAAGATGCTATGTGGGGGCACAGGTCCCACCTGCTGGGGACCTGATAGCAGAGGCACCAGGTTGTGCATTGTGAGGGTACTGGAAATGTGGCTGGGTGCCTAGTTGGGGTTCACAGCTGATCAGGACAATGAGACCCACACTTACCGAGCCCCACAGTACCAGCACCTTTGTGCTTTAGAAGCAGTCTTTTAAAGCAGGTGTGGCAGTGCATGCTCATCATCCCAGCTACACAAGAGGCTGAGGCAGGAGGGTTGCAAGTCTTCTTGCTGTACATTCAGCCCTAAGGCTAGTGAGGCTCCATGTCTCATGCAGACAGCCAGTGCTCCACTGATCGGGCCGGGTGGTGCCCCCGACCCTCCAACCTCTTGTTCCCTGTCCCCTCCCCCAGGTCCTCTCCACCCGGATCCTGGCTATGAAGGCCTCATTGTGCAGGCTGTCGCCCTGCACAGTGACACGCGTGTGTGACTACCACACCAAGCTCTTCCTCGTAGCCATCAGCTCCACCCTCAAGTCCCTGCTGCGCCCCCACTTCCTCAACACGCCTGACAAGAGCCCTGGCGACCGGCTGGCCGAAATGTGCGCCAAGACCACCGACTTGGGTGGGTGGAGCCTGGGGCCCCTGGGCTTGGTCTGTGACAGCTCCTCGGGTCCCGCTGCAGGTTACCCAGGTGTACGGGAGGTGTTTGGACCAAACCCCAAGAGAGCTGCTCGGGACACTCCATCTAGACAGCAGAGCAGAGTTCCACTCTGGCTCCACTCTGATTTTTCCTTCAAAAATTCAGGTTCCAAGGGTGAGGTGATGCAGGCATGGCATCCCAGTACTCTGGGAGGCTGAGGCAGGAGGATCCCAAGTTCGAGCCTCTCTTAGTTACTTTACAGGTTGCTGAGACAAAGTACCCAACACCCAAAGTTAAAGGAGGGAAGCTTTATTTAGGTCACAGTTTGTAGCGGTTTCAGCCCATCATTGGCTGGGCCCAAGCCAGGGAGGCATGGCAGGCAGGGCAGAGGAGAACCAGCTCTTAGCAGAAGGGAGCAAAGCAACAAAGTAGCGAAGGAGCAGGTCGAGTGACTGTAGTACTTTGTTTCTTCCCCTTTCTTACTGTATCTGGGCTACTGTAGGACAGTGCCAACCCAATCAGTGGACGGATGTAGTAACCTCTCACCCTTAATCCCAGCATCATATACTCGAGATCCAGCCAACTCTGAAAAGCCCTACCTACGACCTCATGAGGCTTTGGGGGACGTCCCGACACAGCCACACCAGAGCCCAACCTGGGAAACTGTCTCAAAATGAAAATGAAAAGATGGTGGGGGCCATAAATTCAACTCCCAGTACTAAGAGGAAAAGAATTACATAAAGCCAGGCATGGCATTGCACACCTACGGTCTCAGTACTCAGGAGGTTGAGGCAGGACGATTGCTGCAAGTTCAAGGCCAGCCTTGCTACATAATGAGTTCAAGGCCAGTCACGTATATACCCAGACTCTGTTTCAAAATAAAAATTTATATAAAAATTCAGATTCTATCTCAGGTCAGTAGCTCCGCCTGACCTGTTATCCCAGCTATTCTGGAGGCAGAGGCAGGAAGAGCAAGAGTTTGAGGCCAGCCTGAGCAACTTCATGAAACCCTGTCTGAAAATGAGAAATATAAAAAAGGGCTGTGGTGTAGCTTGGTGGTAAGCAGTAGCCCAGCACACAGATTGCTCAGCCTGGGGTGTGGCCCAGTGGTGGCCCCTTCCCAGGGGTGTGAGTGAGGCCCCGAGTTCATGCCAGCACCACCAAAGCTAAAGCTCATACATGCTAAAGTTTCTCTGTCTACATGTATGCGTGGGAGTTGGAGCCTCTGGGAAAAGGGGCACATGGAGTCCAGCCTGGCCTGTCCCTTGCTGTCCAGAGGGGACACTGCCAGGCGTGAAGGGACTGTGCTCCCCACCGGGCTGGCAGGAAGCAGCATGGGACTGCCCTGGCCAACTTCTGTCCCCAACTCTGGAAGGAACATGAGGCAGTGTCTCCAGGCTATCTTCTTCCACACGGGGACACCCAGGCCTGTGTGTGGGACTGGGCCCAGAGCACTTCCTCACAGCGTTCTTTTCCTGGTGCCTTTTTCACAGCTGTTTAATTATCCCTTCCGCACAGGCACGGGGGCTCATCCAGTGCTTCCCTGGCAGGATCCGGTGCCTGCGCTCCTAGTTCTTTGTTGCCATCCCGAACTCCATCCGGGGCATCTGCTGGGTGTCTGATAGGTGCTGGGCACCTATCCAGGGCCAGAACTCGGTGTGCTCCATCCGTGCAGGTTGAAGAACCCCAGCACCCCTGTGTGCACAGCTGCATATACCGTGGAGTCCCCACCACCCTGACCACCGTCCTTGTCCCCTTTCAGACATTGATAAGGTCATGCTCAACCTCAAGACGGAGGAGTTTGTTCTGGACACGAACACACTCCAGGCGCTGCAGCAGCTCCTCCAGTGGGTGGGCGACTTCGTGCTCTACCTGCTGGCCAGCCTGCCCAACCAGGTGCGCATGCGCAGCCCCCTCGCCCCGCCTTCAGCCCCACCCACCTGTGGCGCTCCCCTCAGCCTAGCCACGCCCCTTGATCACCTTTCCAACCAAGGTCCCTCTCCCTTCCTCTTCCTCCCCTCCCCTCTACTCCCTCTTCCTCCCCTCACCTGTTGCGGGGGCTGGAGGGGGAGCACTCAGGACTTTGAAATCCCAGCCATGGGGACACAGTTTGGGAATCTGGCTGCCCTCCTGCACATGTCGGGGTCAGCCTCACCAGGACCTCGCTCCATGTACATTGACCAGGCAGTCTCTGGGCATGTCCCTGGCCCCCACGCACCCCCTGCCGGGGGTAGCCACTGTCCCCGGGACTGCATGCTCAGTGTGACTACTGCCTTGCAGGGTTCACCGCTGCGGCCAGGCCACAGCTTCCTGAGGGATGGCACGTCGCTGGGCATGCTGCGGGAGCTGATGGTGGTCATCCGCATCTGGGGCCTGCTGAAGCCCAGCTGCCTGCCTGTGTACACAGCCACATCGGACTCACAGGACAGCATGTCCCTGCTATTCCGCTTGCTCACCAAGCTCTGGATATGCTGTGAGGCACCCTGCCTTCTGCTTTCACCTCCCCACCAAAATACAAGCCCTGGTGGGCTCCCCCTACTGTAGGATAAGATCCTGTAGGCAGAAACAGCTCAGGTCCCTGTTTCAGAAAGGTCAGTGGGGCAAGAGACCAGGAGGGACTTCCCAGCAAAGCAGGCCAGAGCTTGCCCTAGACCTCGTGCCCCATGGTGCCCTGCACAGGTCTGTCCCAGTGGGCAGTGGGTGAGGTCTCAGGCTGGCCACCACATGTAACAATATCCCCTCCCTGCAGGCCGTGAGGAAGGGCCAGCGAGCGAGCCGGACGAGGCCCTGGTGGATGAGTGCTGCCTGCTACCCAGCCAGCTGCTGGTGCCCACACTAGACTGGCTGCCCGTCAGTGATGGGCTGGTCAGCCGCCTGCAGCCCAAGCAGCCCATGCGCCTGCACTTTGGCAAGGCTCCCACGCTTCCCAGCAACGCCCCCGCCTCACAGCTGGACGGCCTGGCCAGGTACGTCCTGCCCTACCTGGGTCTCCGAGCAGCCACGCACTTGTGTGCCCATGTACGCGTGCCCATGTACACATGCCCGCCTCCTGCACGCTGCCCCAGGGCCTGTGCCCCACTGCTCCCCCTCGAATCTTCTCCTTTGGGCCTGGGCTCAGTGGTGAGTGCTTACCTAGCATGCACCAGGCCCTGGGCTCCACCACTGGGCTCTCTTCTTCCCGTGGCAACAGGGCCTTTGCACAGCCTCTCCCAGCACCACAGGGGTGTGCCCTCCAGGCCTGCTGACATCACCTTCACTGAACAGTTGTCCTGAGGGTGGGGTCTGGCCACCCTGTCTTAGCAGCAGGGAAGCAGCCTCAGTGCAATTGCATCTTACTGTGGTGGCGCACGCCTGTCATCCCAGCACTCGGGAGGCTGAGGCAGAAGGATTGTTGTGAGTTTGAGACCAGCCTGGGCTACAAAGTGAATTCAAGGCCAGCCTGAACTGCATAGCAAGACCGTGACTCAAAAAGACAAAAAAAATACATAAATAAACAAAGACTCTGGATTCAATGCAGAGTGCTGAAAAAAAGGTTACTTTCACATTTTTATAGCACCAAGGACCATGCCAGGCTTCTTTTCGCTCCAGCTACAGGGTGCCCCAGCGGTCCCTACTGGCCTGGTGCTGGGACGGTTCCAGAGGCACCAAGGACAGTTGCGGAAGGACACGATCCATCGTTGCCACAGAGGCCCCTGTCCCGGCTGCCCTACGCCCGCCCTTCACGCCCTCCCTTCTTCTCCCCAGGGTTCCGGGCCAGCCCAGGATTGACCACCTGCGGAGGCTGCACCTGGGCACCTACCCCACGGAGGACTGCAAGGCCTGCGCCAGGTACTGCGCGGCGGCCTCCTGGTGGGCGTGGCCCGCGGAGTGTGACCATTCTGGGCGGGGCTGCTGTGGGGTCACGTGAGCCATTCCCACTCACCTGTCCCCAGGTGTGGCTGCGTCACCATGCTCAAGTCCCCCAACAAGACGACCGCAGTGAAGCAGTGGGAGCAGCGCTGGACCAAAAACTGCCTGTGTGGGGGGCTGTGGCGGAAAATGCCGGTCAGCTACTCCTGAGCCGGCCCGCCGGCCCACGGGACAGTCATGCCCAGACTAGGCCACAGCAGGCGGGGCTGTAGGTCTCTCTCCCGCCGGCCCAGGAAGCTTGCCCGAGGGCCCCGAGCCCCCGCCCGCCCGCGTGAGTAGCTCCGGCACCGAGGGGCTGAGGCGGGAGGACGGCCGCAAGCTGCAGGTCAGCGTGGGGTACCTGGTGAGACCGGCTTGGTCAAAAAAAAGGAGGGGGCTCTGATCAGGCCCCTGCATTCCCCTTTATTTTTTCATTTTTTTGTAACATTCCCCTTTAGAACATGCCTGGTGCGCAGCCACATGCCTCAGTTTCCCTCTTGTGCCTGCAGAGCCCATCCTCACCCTGGGGCCTGGCCCACTAAACTGTGGCCACCACAGTCCACGCTGGGCCCCCAGCCCCAGGGTCAGCGCAGGCCACGTCTCTGTGTCCCGGGCCAGGGTCGCCCACTTGCGCAGTCAGCCCTGCCTGCAGCAGCACCCGGTGTGTGCCAGGAGCAGAGGGGCGGGGGTGGCGGGCCTTTTCGTGTGTCCCCTCCTCGCTTCGCCTTTGTCTTCCTCTGCCCCCCACCGCCCTGTGTCTCTGAAGCTCAGTCCTGGTTCCCCAGGGTCCGACCTTGCGCTACTACAAGCACTGTCACCACTTACGTCGCGGTCCCCTGCAGGCTCCAGGCAGAAGGGCTGCTGCGGACGCCCTGCCTGGAACGCAGTACTTGGTTGCTATTTCGCCTGCAGAGCCAGCTCCCCACAGAGCACCACGCTTGCTGTCGCAGGGGCGCCGGGTGCCAAGCTGTGTCTGAGCGTGGGCCAGTGTGAGGCTGGGCAGCTGGCACCCCAGAGCCACAGGCAGTGGAGTCTGGTGAGGTGACGGGGCCAGGTGTATCAGGAAGTGCTGGGCTAGCCGGGCATGGTGGTGCACGCCTGTAATCGCAACACTCGGGAGGCTGAGGTAGGAGGATCTTTGTGAGTTCAAGACCAACCAGCTTGGGCTACAAAGTGAGCTCAAGGTCAGCCTGAACTGCATAGCGAGACCTTGTTTCAAAAAGACAAGAAATAAAAAAAAGGAAGTGCTGGGCACCTTTGTTCCCACCTGAGTGTGGCACGGCTGGCTCACCTTGGGGACAGGTATGTGAGCAGGTGTGTGAGGCAAAGGCCTCAACTTCCAATCACAGCAAGTTTTTCTCAGCCTTTTACAAAGATCCTGTCACCATGCCTCCCTTGATAGCACGCTGTTGCTTTACCTTTCCTGTGTGGGTCTGAGGTCACGCCCATCAGGAGTGGCAATTGTGCAATAGGCACCCGCTGCCATAAGGCCGACAGGAAGCAGCCTCACTCCTTGGCCCTCACGCCGCCAGGCCTGGCATCCCCGCTTTGGGATGGGTCACTGGGAAGCTCCTCCCACCATAGACAAGCTGGCCGGGTGGGACCAGGGACAGATCACGTGTTGGGGATAGCCACTGTGGGCAGCTTCTGGAACGTTCTGTAGGCCAAGATGAGGTAGGTGGTCTGGGACGTTTGTTCCATGTCCCCTCCGTGGGGCTCATGACGGCCTTATTTCTGCACAGTTCTACTCCTGGGGTCCACAGTAGGGAAGTCGGACATGTGTCCCTTGGCACATTTCTCAGCTGCCAGAGGCCAGGCTTAGAAGATGGTCCCCAGCACTCCTTGCAGCCACATTTTGGCACTGCCTCCTCCTCCAGAGCCCTCTGTGGCTCTCACTGACCACAGCACAGGGCTGAAAATGCCCAAGCAGTCTGGGAGCTGAGTAGGTATGAAGCCCCACATACCACCCACCCTCCACCCCAGCTCATAGACGCAAGGGTCAGAACTTGGGACAGCCCCCCTCAGCGCCCCGAGTCCTGACTTCCTGTGGGCAAGTGGGGTTGGGCCCACACAGAGTGGCGTCGGCCGGCCGCCCTGTCCAGCACGCTCATCCTGCCCGCATGGCCCAGCCTGTCCCCAGGGGCACACGGAGAGGTGGCTCCTGTCCTTCCTGTCTCTAGGGTGTTGACCAAGCCGATGCGTGACTGAGAGCCATTAGATGTGTGGGCTGATGGCAAGAAGGAGCTGCCCCGTCAGAGGGCTCCCCATTGCCTCGGGTTCCTTTGTTTGGATCACAGAAGCTGCTCCAGTTCCATGATGATAAAATAGGGCTTGCAGGCAGGGAGCACTGTACTTAAGACATGTCTCCTGCCGGGCAGTACTGCACCTGGGGCCGCATCACTGACCCCAGTGCTGTCCCATACAGTGCAGGGCACCCTGCAGAACCTGAATTTGAAATAAATGAAGCATTTCCTACATACATCCTAAAGTATAAACATCATCCATTGTTGCTGGGTGTGATGGTGCATGCCTGTAATCCCAGCACTCAGGAGGGTGAGGCAGGAAGATTGCTGAATTCAAGGCCAGCCAGGACTACAGTGAGTTCAAGGCCAGCCTAAACCACATAGTGAGACCCTGACTCAGTAAACACCAAAAAAAAAAAAAAAAAATCCATTGTTATCTAAAATTTCTTTGTGTATGTGCAAGTAAGTGATACAGAAACAGGATCTGGCTATATAGTTCAGGCCTTGAACTGTGTAACCCAGGCTGGCCTCGAACTTGCATTGATCGTCCTGCCTCAGCCTCCCAAGTGCTAGGATTACAGGCATGTGCCACTGTACCTGGGCAAAAATTCCCTTTAAAGCTAGGTGTGGTGGCGCACACCTGGGGGCCCAAGTACTCAGGAACCTGAGGCAGGAACCAAAAGTTCAAGACAGCCTGGGCTACATAGTTCAAGATCAAGCTAAACTACATAGCTAGACTCTGTCTCAAAAAAGCAATTACACAAGGAATTTGTGCACACACCGAAGCTGGCCTCGTTCCTGTTAAGAGGCAACCCAGCAAATAATGCTCTGTTGCTCAGCCACCCCAAGCTCACAGTGCGCAGGTGCTCAGCGAAGGCTTGTGCATGAAGGTGGTCAAGGGGACAGCATCATGGTTCCAGGTCCGTACACAGATTTCCCATGGAGCACGAGGTCACCTCTCAGACCATGGTCTCCACACGCGGAGAGCCCTGAGCAGCTCCTGAGGGCCAGGTTTAGGCGCTGGGCCCTGGTGGCTTCTCAGGAAGAGGGAAGCGCCCAGCCTTGGACCTCGGCTTGTTTGCCTCATCACCTCTAGCGGACAAACCGTGGTCCAAGGCTGTCGTGACCCATAGAGTCCCCACGGGTGTGGCTACTCTTGGACGCTATCTGCAGCCTCAGTGTGTAATCACAGCAGCACTCACCTCCGGTTTGAATCTGAACTTTTGTTCTGAGCTTTCTACAGAATTTCAGGGGTCTCTGCACTGGCCAGCTCAGAGTACCCAGGGCAGGGTCTCACACTCTCCACTGGGAAGAGCAAGGGCGCTGCTGTGTGGCGGAGCCCCAGAAGGTCGCCGGGTTTTGTGCTGATGGGTCTTCCCCTGCCCCTCTGCCTAACCCGCCCCTCTCCGGGTCTTGCAGGCAGCAGGTCCTCAAGAAAGTGACTCAATGGGGCTGGGGATTTAGCTCAGCGGTAAAGCGCCTGCCTGGCAAGCGCAAGGTCGTGAGTTCGGTTCCCGGTACCGGAGAAAAACCAAAAAAAAAA